CATCTTTATTAAACATAATTAAAAATCAAAGACTTTCCGTATCTTAAATGAAATACGTAAACTCGCGGTAACAAATTTTTGAAATAATGTTTCATTCAGCCGACTTTCAATAACTCAGAATTTTTTCTATATAACAGTATTTCGAATATTTTAGCCAATTTCAAAACGATGGCACATCGAGATAATTTTTCTACCGCTTTTTTCACGTACCTCTTCGGATTAATGTGACTTTGAAGGACTTTCGGGAATTTTCTACTCTCACAATTATTTTGGACCATTGAAATTTCAAAGCAATGACATCTGGAGATAACGCGTTTTTTCCACATATCTCATCACATTTTTTCGGAGTCTCTTTTTTTGGGAGCCACGCGTTTCGTCCATTTCGCGAACGTGACGCTCGTTAACGGTCACCGACATCGACGACACATTAGCAAACACGTCTGTCCCACTCGCATGATTTCACGACATCGGTGGCTGACATCTTGTATATTTACACGATCTGCGAGAAAACACAAATACTTTGTCAATAGATTTAACTCGGAATAAAATATATGTATAGGGTGTTTCTTAAATAGCGGACACTAATCATATAACGCTATTCCTGATTAAAAATTGAGTCGAAAAGTCCTCTACAATTTTGCAATTGTCGCAATGATTGATGAAACATTAATTTCTAAAGATTGCCGAGTCACATAATGCTATAATCCTGATAAAAAATTGAATCAAAAAGTCCTCTACCATTCGTCCATTTTGCAATTTTCATGATAGTTAATGGTTGGACAGCCAAATACGCGCGCAATATTTAGAAATTAATATTTCGTCAACCATCATTGCGAAAAATTACTAAATTGTAGAGGACTTTTCGACTCCATTTTTAATTAGGAATAACGCTATGTAATTAGTATCCGCTATTTAAGAAACATTCTGTATGCCATATTAACACTAGATCTGATTCTCGATACTTGTCGAGGTGTTTTAACATTTGACGAATAAGCATCGAGCGACAGACTTCAGATATCAACTATTTATTAATCGCTGTACTAAATACATATAAATCATGCGGAAATGTAATCGCTAATATTATCTGACAACTATGAAAGCAGCACTGCCCTTGTAAACGAATATCGCATGTTTACTTTTATGCTGAATAAACTGCTGACACATTATTTCCATTAATACCGTAACGTTCAACACAAAAAGTTGATTACGACGTTAATAATCTTAACGTTAAACATCGAACCAGTAAAAACCATTGAAACATATTATTATAATCTCCATATGAGGATAATCTAGATAAGATTTTATATGACATTAAATAGTCCTTGTCTATAAATGATTGAGAATCACACTCGATGCAAACTTATCACGTAAAGTTATAAAATTTTAAGTAACAACCAAATGAATTTTGCACCAATAAAATCTTGAAAACTGTAACGCTCCATACTGAAAATTGATTACATTAATATATCGTAATTTAAATATTGAATTAGTAGAAAAAATTAAAAATTTATGATCTTCGTAATGAAGATAATCTATAATAAGATTTTATACGGAGTTAAATAATCCCTGTCTGAAAATTATTGAGAATGACATTTGACGCAAATTCTTCATGTAAAAGTTAAAATAATAATCAAATTAATTATTGTGAATTAACAAAATCTTGAAAACTGTAACGACCAAAAATTGATTAAGACATAACAATCGACACTGCATCACTAGAAAACATTGAAAAATTATTATAATCTTCGTAATACAAATAATCTATAATACGATTTTATACAACGATAAATAATTTCTGTCTGAAAATTATTGAGAATGACATTCGACGCAAACTTTTCATGTAAAAGTAGTTTAAAATGACAATCAAGTTAATTATTGTGAACTAATAAAATTTTGAAAACTGTAACGATCAAGATCAAAAATTGATGACGACGTAACATTCAACATTAAATCAGTAGAAAACATTGAAAAATTATTATAATCTCCGTAATGCAAATAATCTATAACAAGATACGACGTTAAATAATCCCTGTCTGAATAATTATTGAGAATCACGCTTGACGCAAACTTTTTACGTAAAATTTTAAAATAACAATCCAATTATTTTGGACCAATAAAATCTTGAAAACTATAACGCGCGCTGAACAAAGACCGAAGACCGATTACAACGTTAATACCGTAAACATTAAAAAATTATTCTAATCTTCATAATGCAGACAATCTCTAGATTTTATACGACGTTAAATAATCCCTGTCTGAATAATTATCGAGAATCACACTTGACGTAAACTTAAAGTCTTTTAAAATCCATCCACAGACAAAGAGTATTTGCGTCTTTTCCCGGATCATTCAATTATACGACGAAACGTCCCGACTTATAACGTTATCGCGTGTAACAACATTGCAAGTGATGACAAGGCAACGACTGTCGCGTATACGCACTTGTCGTCGCTTGGGACGCGTCGTCCGGTCTATATTACATCAAGATGCGGGTCTGGATCTTACGGATATACGGTAATAAGCTACTACGCGAACTGGTTCCCATAGAGACGCTGTGCTCTCGTCCGTCATTCACGCGGACGCGTGCGCGCGAGTGGAGACACGCGAGAGCGTGACGAGTGTACGGCGCGCGGTCCGAGAGAAAAGGGATTTGCAAGGCTCGAGAACGCGGGAGAACGCGGGAGAACTCGGGGAGCGAAGAAAGGAGCGCGGGGAGGGGGCACGGCAAGAAAGGAAAGAGGCAAGAGAGAGCTCTGGAGCAGCACTTAAGGATAATAAACTACCGCGATAGTGCGAAAGAGAAGGGGGGGTGGTGCGACATCTTTCGCGGCGTACGTACCACGGAGCGCAGCAGATCTTCCGAAATTGATCGTGCTTCGTGCAACGCGCATACTCTCATTACGCGGCCAGCGGAGTACATGACAATAAATGGACCTTTCCCGACGAAGGAAGGAGGCGAAAACGCGCCTTTCGGCACAACCAGCACGCGTCCCGAAACGCTTCCCCGATGCATCTTTCAAGAATACCCACACTCTTTTATCTTTTTCACACTCCGGGGTTGAAACACCGCAAATTCTTCATTCCTAAAATTCCATAACTTTTCCCTGATTTCCAGACACAATTTTTCTTGATGCTTTCAACATTTTGAAATTTTTTGTATTCATGTCCCGACGTAGAATTCGTCAAATATTTTGTTGAGAGAGCAATTTAACACGACAATGTAAATTATTATTAATGTTGCAGATACTGTTTGCATTTAATTGTTAAGTCGGTAGTATTCCGAAACTGCGTAGATGTATGCATAAACTTTCTCAAAACCAAGAATTTTATTTTTCCCGAACATTCCCTGATTTTTCCCTGATCTCTCTGACCGTTTTCAATTTTCCTGACATTTCTCTTTGTGGCAACCTTGACATTTTTCCAACCATAACGAACTTTGCTGACAGGACGCTCGATAATCACGGTAAAAGTGATTCAAGTTACCTTTATTATTTACAAATAACGAATAATAAAAGTCAGTATACAACTAATAAGAGAAAACTAAAATAAGAAATAATTAATAATTCTATATATATATATAATTAAAGTGAAATTATAATATAATAATAAAAAACAATATTACAAAAACAATAGGCAACCATGAAGATGGCTGAAAAAAGCAACCGAAACGTCGGAAATATATGTACAGGTGAAGAATAAAGAAGAATTGTAACGTACATTAATAATAACTGTGTACTAGCTCTTAGATGTCTATTCTTTTTGTAATATTGTTTTTAATATTGAGAGCTCGATTAATTTATATTGTTAATATAATAATAATACGTAGCAGTGTAACATTATAAATAAAAAATGTTGCAAGCTACACATATGAGAGTATTGCATAAATATGCAATAGATAGTATCACATGATTCGTTAAGCAAAATAATAGGAATACCGTGTGTTCATTTTTTCAAACTTTTTAAAATTTTACATTTTAAACGAAATTGTAATATTTTCATATGTTTATCATTCTTATACATACGTTGCCATACAATCATCTTGCGTAGTAAACACATTACTTCAATGGGATAAAAAAGGACGAGCGTAAAAAGCGTGACTGAAAGAAACGGATCTGTCCCTCCTCATAAATCCGTGTCGAACGTATTGGCGATGTTTCGATAGCTCGCGGGATTTTTTCGCCATGGAATTTCGCAGTATCGTCAACAGCAAAACGACGACGTATCGACGTGCCGTTTCAGAACGTCACAACGCAGGGAGGGACCGTCGATTATGGAAAATGGTACGACGGACGGATCGCGGATTTTAACACAAAATAACACGTAGACGTATAAACTGCAAACCACCGAGTATCACGAAAACCATTTCGCGAGTGCGCGTGATGTCCGGTCTGCGCGATCGAGAGAGATCGCCCTCGGCGGCCCTCCGACAGAGAGATTATCGAGATATTCGGACATCGAGGCTCTCGTACGGACAGCCTCTTCGCTCGAGAGGAGAGCGACCACTGTACCGTGTTAACGTACACGCAAACACGCACACGCACGTACACGATTACGCGGACCTGTAATTCGGCGAATTCAATTTTCGACGCTGTAAATACGGCGGATATATATCTCGCGTAGGATTCAAATTCCGTTTACTTCTATTACTCGCGGCGTTCGAATTGTAGATACATACAATGCGGACAGTAGACGAGTTTGTGTCCCGCATGAAAGAAAAAAAAAAAGAGAGGAAAAAAAGAAAAATAAATAAAAGAGACAACTACATCGCAATGTGTTTTGATACAGACTGGCGGCAGCGTTCAAGTTTGATTATAGAGAGTGACATATTTACAACGACGTTACGTCGAAACTCGCCTGACTACCCTGGTTTCCGCGTCGTGCCACGGTACACGCATCTGTCGCACGCATACACGCACCCACACGCAGCGTTACGCGGAGGGATAGATCGCGTCTATACCCGCTCGTGTTTTACTCCAAATTTGATTCGGACGCTCACTTACCGAGTCGATGGACCACCACCGCCGTCGTCGTCGTCGTCGTTGTCGCTGGCGAGGGGTGGCGAGGGCGGAGGGATGGCGAGGTCCGAAACGCGCCTAGGGGAGACGACGCCGCGCCTGATAAATCCACCGTTCGTGGAGGCCGACGAGGCCGACGAGGGATCCGAGCGCCGGCAGCGCGACAACGCACACTCGACTACGGGCCGCACACATAAGAGCTCGTACACACTTGGCTGCTGGGCACTTGTGATCCGCACGCACTATATACTATACTATATTCACCGGGAAACCAGAAGCGCTCGCGAGGACCGAGGACAGGAGTCGCGAGCGCGCGCGCGCACGCGAAACCGCGACCGCGGCGACCAATTATAATACGATACGATTTTAATGCAACGATTCACAATTGACTATTCGCGCGAGATCGACGGGCGAATCTCCACCGGTATTTCCGCTCGCTCGCTCGTTCGTTCGTTCGTTCGTTCGTTCGTTCGTTCGCGCACCCGCGCCGTCGGAATTCAGATGCGGACGCGATTATAAAACTGCCGACGAGCCACCGTTCTTACTCCACGAAGCACACAGTGGCCATTACCCTCGTCGCCTTGCGACGAGCGAAGAAGCGCGTTTTTGTTTTCTTTTTTTTCTCTTTAATTTTGCTCTCCTCTCCAACGGAGACGACGGCAACGCGTCTTACCGCTGCGAGGTCGTGGTAGCGACTGCTCTCGGGAGACTGGCGGCGCAGCCCGATCGACCAATCGCGTGCCGGCTTTTACCGAGCGCCATCTTGCCCCTACCCGAGCACAAAGAGGCCGCCGACCGAGCGCTCGCGGAAACGCACGATCGCTCTCGCTCGTGACTCGTCGCCGTCGCCGTTCCACCCTCGCCATGCCACCATCGTCACCACTACCACCACTACTATTACCCTAGCGGCGGTGGATCGACGTGCGTTTTGCGGCTTCGCTCCTTCGGTGTCCTAACTTTCGATATAGGGGTTTTATGGCAGGATTAAGCGTGCGGGGGACCATCGACGAGCCTTGTATTTTCAGACTTGTGCACTTATACTCGTGAGTTAGGCGATTCGCGATTCGCGACTCGGAGTATCATCGTCCTGCGATCACCTCGAATGATGACTGTTTTACGAAAAGGGGAGCCGTCTGATATATCTTTATTGCGCTTTCATTCACGCGTGACATCCGATAGAGGGATTTTTGTATCGCACGATTTTCCTCTCGGTAAATCGCTGTTGTGGTGAAACGTCTGAATACTATATTATAGAATTATAGATAATAACAAGATTTTTTTATTACAGTTTTGAACATAATTTTTATTCGACTATCGAAATAATTATGTAGGACGTTCAAACTAGTTGCTAGAATAACGAAAACTTTTTGCGCACCGTTGCTTTTTGCAACAATTTTCGCGCCTCGAAATTTTTCTCGCCACTCGGCTAAAACTGTATCGGTTTTAAATCACGACGCAGCCTCGATTACGATCGACGAAACGGCACTGATGAAAACTCGCGGTAATTAACACGTCCCGGCGATCCATCACTTCAATTAGCACTCTCGACAGAAATTTTCGCTCATTATATGCCTTTAACGAATAAAATTCGAGACTACTTAACAGAGCTATCGCGCTTTGCGTTTCCAAATCGACGCGACGCGTTGCCGAGACTGTCATGGCGAAACGCGCAACATGACGTCACAGTATAAATTTGGAATATTTAAATAATTCGAAATTGCAAACGATTAGCGTTCACAATAAAAACTGATCGCTTGAGTAATGATGATTAACGACGTTGTATTCAACATTCTTTATAAGAAAGATACGAAGAAATCTGTGTAAGATAGACCGTTCTTGATAAAGTTTCAAACTGACGCGTCATGTAATGAACTCGTCCAAATTTTCCATTTGTAAAAACAAGTAATATAGACTCGTCCGCGTAATTAATTTGTAAAAGGTTTCTACAAGAAACCGCTATTTAAGTCTTAAGTCGTAAAAAATTAATCAGTCGTAGTCGATTATTCATCTCACATTCGATTGTGACTGGTCAATTAATTTTTATGACATGAAGCTTAAGTAACGATTCATTGAAGAATGTGTATAAAAATATCTATTGTATGAGTAATAATACGATCATAAAGTATTGACTTGTCGTTTATTTTGCGATAAATACAATAATTTGTCCATAAAAGATACAAAGAAAGCGCCAAACATTCTTATTCAAGTTTCGAATCAATGTGTGTGACAACGGATTTATCCAAATGATCAATCTGTTAAAATGTCAGTAATATGGACTCGTTGATGTAATTAATTTGTAAAAAAATGTATTGGACGAGTAATATTACGATTTCGTTTTCTGTCAATGCGATATATTATATTTCATGGTGAATTTTCTATATTATAGACACACTTATAAGGCCTCGGTATTGGTTGAGGTTTCAAATCAAATTTACGCATAGTGGACACAAAATATCCTGCGATAATTGATCATTATGTTAATTACGTGATATTTTTGTTATAATAATACACTGGCAACACTGCAAATATAAGTGTGTCAAAAGTGTCTACGATGTATGTGTATGATTAGTTTTAAGTGTGTAAATCTATTTTTGTATGCAGAAAGAGAGAGAGAGGGAAAAAGTAGTGTATTCTTACATAGAAAATCAAATACACACATATATTGTAATCGCTTTTTACACACATGAATTTGCAGTAAAGGGATCAAAGATTAATGTTCTCGATCATTATGTAGAGAGAACGGTATTATTGAAATACATAAAAATTTAGCTATAGTGAGAAAAATTTTTGAAAATTGAAAATGAATGAACTAGAAAATGTCGATTATATCAATAGGAATTTTGGAATCAACTAAAATTATAATAGATTCAATCAGAAAATTTTGATTTGTCTATTTTCAATCAAAATTCCTATTAATGCAACTATGCAGATCGTTTTTCCAGTGTACCTATATTTTCAATTTAGCAAAGTGTTTACGGTTCCTTGAGTCACAGCAAATTGACGAAAAGTAAAGAATAGAAAACTGTAAAGAAAACAATATTTTTCTATATGTCTTTAAAGTCGAATATTATGTACAAGAACAGATCATATAATATGTATCTGTTAAGTCGAGACAGCTGTATCCGGAGAATATTTAAAGACGACTTTTCCCAAAGCAAAGTCTCGTATGAAAAAATTTTATTTTATGTTTTTATTTATTTTTTTCATAGAATCATCTTCTTCCTGGTTGTAAAACAATTTCTAGAACATCTTATATATTCGCGTATTGAAGAGAGAAAATTTAAGTGTAAAAAGTATTAAAAAAAAACCACTTTGTGCCCGTAAAGTGCATGGTGCGCATGATGTATCGTTTTATTCTTGTTTAACATTCGATAAACAACAAGGATAAAATAAATATATCATGCATTATACATAAAGCGGAACGCAGCCACAAATAGACCTATAATGTCGTTAACAGAAAATAACAACATCCCACGTGCGTACGGCAATCTTGTTTTCTTAAAGAAAATAGGGGCCGAATCTGAAAATTTTAGGACTTTATTCCTAAATATTCTCAAACTAATTTGTAACTGTCAGATGTTTGCATATTAATTTTTGAAATTTGCGCAGTGTAACTAAGATAACTTTCAACAAATAAACCACAAGTCATTCATAACATCAAAATGACATCAAAATAGCTGTAAGTTTGATTATTAAAAATCACTCTTTTCAAGTTTTCCATTATCTCATGATTCATGTGAAGTCATTTTGTTGTTATTATGACTCTGTTCTGCTTGGGCTAATATTGCCCTTGTATAAAACTAAATTTGTCGGTTGTTTTCGTAAACATTTGCTCATTAGTGCGACATTAGACACTGAAGTGCTAAAGAAAGTAATTTCTCACAATAATATTAAAATTAAAGACAAAATTAGGTTTTAAGAAATAAATAAATTTGAAGGAGAGCTACCTGTGAAATAAAGGATGTGTGGTTACCTTATCATCATATGTAATCATGATCAATAATTGACAACTTGTATATTTTACGAATGTAAAATTTACATTTTATTAAGTTAAAGAAGTAAGCAAAAGATACATCTCTCGCGAATACTGTTTTGTTATTGCGCTCTGTGTACAAACGGTAGGTGATTTCCCGAAATACTTCGCTGATTCTCTGAATTTCTCGGCTACAAGCGTCTCGCTGTTTTTTAGATCTGTTTTGTTGAGTGCTTTTATTCTACCAATCTTGAAATATTTTAGGAATTCGGGGCGTGAAAACACCAATTGTATTTGAACCAATTTTTATTTTCTGTAAAGGTCATCTCACCTTATAATGAATTTACGAAAACACGAAATGATTGAAATAAAATAAAATCCGATTAAGGCTTAAGATTATATAATAGTAGAATTTGAAAATAATCCGAGTTATTTCATTCTGAGAAATTACGTTTCCATTTATCGGATGTTAGCAATAATAAAACAAGAACTTTTTGCTTAACTTTAATTTTATAAACGATTTGTTGTTCGATTCATTTACTCATCTAATGTTTAATACTACAATGTAATACAATTTTGATATTAATTAATACATGGAGATATATTATCGGCTTATCGATCTGTTGAGATTACGATATAAATAGTCTGGATAGAAATGCAATTAATCCGGCCAGATTTCCTGTCTGAGACTTTAGGAAGATATATTTAACAATTATTAACTGCTAATTGACGGAGACAGCAATGTCTGTTCTATTTTGTCTATTTTCTTTATCTTTAATCTAGAACCTAACCTTCTCATTAACATTCATTTAATAATAAATAATAGTGTATTTTTTAATTTTTTATAGAATCATAGTGATTTGATACAAGCAGGCGTTACGTTTCTATTAAAAGAAAAAAGAAAACATACCAGTTAAAGAATTTATGACACCAGATGTGCAGCCGATGTTATATAAAATGTCTCTTGGAGATGTTTTTTTTATCGTAGATAATCCACAAAGATTTATTACCGTATAAATCGACGTAATTCTCGACATCTTTTTGTTAAAAAAAAATTATTTTTGAATTGAAATCGTAAAGACCGTAATTATGAAGGCATCTAATGATTCTATATTATTTTATATACTTTATTTTAAATATACAATATGTTTTATATGTTCTATATATTCTAACACACAATGGACTTCCCTCCTCTCTCTCTTAAATTTGCTGCATATTGAAATAATGGATCCTCAAATTCGTGGTCACACACTGCGAATCTCGTAATCCCAATATCTCGATAATCCGATAATATATCTCCGTATATTAATTAGTACCGAATTATCGAGATCACATTGTATTGACACGGTCCGTTTTACAATCCGCCCGTAAATCTGTTTTTGTGAGATTTTTGTCATAAATGTAACATGGCGGAAATTAAAGACAATAAAGGATAGACGTCACAATATATAATTTATTCAAATTTAAATGTGCGCATGTGAGATAGTTGCTTCTTTCAATCTCTTTTCCGCTCTCTCTCTCTCTCCCCTCCCACTCATTTTGTCTATCCTTCACTATACCCTTCATTTTCCACCTCATAGAGATCAAATTTTCTATATCCCGGCTTTTCCGCATTTGTATAAATGATCCCTCTACGGTTATACATCAAATTTCAATATTTTATTTTCACAGTCAATATGTAAAAATAAATGGATATTGTGTATTTATCGAACGATTATTAATATTGATGGCTCTGTTGCAATATTAAGCCATCTATTATTCAACGTTAATTTATGACTTTTACTGTACGATCAACGTGATTGAGACACTTTTGTTTAGGCAACTCCTATAAATATTTATCTCCATACATCCAGAACACGCGATACAACAGCGATAAAAACGATTACTAAAAAATTGAATGTATTAATCAGTATATATGCATTAATAAAATTATCGGATTATTTTTTCTACTTTTATAATACTGCCTGGGAAAAAATGTTCCATATAAAATTCTATAAAATTATCTATAATTATATAAAAAGTTGACATATTTTATATACAATTATATATAAAACATGTACATATATATAACATTTTTTCCCAGGTATGTATTTTCAAATATTAAAATTGACTAGTTTTGAATTTGCAATTAAATTAACAATTTGTTATTTCGAATTAACATTTTGTTTGAAAAATAGTTGAAGAAAAAAATTGAGTTGATGTAGGTTAGACCAACATCGATATAACTGCAGGCTCCTGCTTCATATATACACTTTGAAAATACCTTGAATTATTAAGAGTTAAGAGAGAGTATGTAGATCGGTTTGAATTAATGGCAATTTAATTACAATGACCTCAGCGACTGTAATGCAATAAATAATACATGCTCTTTTTGTTAGTAATATTGTTTTTTGTACATGTGAATAAAGTCACTCGTACAACATTTTTAATAGCGTTGATTCCGAATAGAATTTTTAAAAGGATAGAACAAATGAACCTAGAAACTTGAATTCAAACGTTCAATGAGAAACTTGTCTCAAACTGTCGGCTGTTTAATTGTCGAATCCATATTGCGCCGTACCGCAAGTTTGGAAACTGGGATTAATGTCGGCAGTCGGCAGATTGCGAATTGAAATTTGAGAAACGTGGAATTCAAAAATTTCGTACGATATTTGTTGAGCGTTATGGTAGATTTCAATATTTCACGAAATTTTTCGATTTCTGTTATTACAATCTTTTATATTGGCTTAACCTAGATCTGGTTGCATGACATTATAAATCTTATGATTCACACGTGCGATATATATAAATGTACAAGTTTATTAAATTGTTTTAATAAACTATAAATTATTGGATATCAAATGATTGTAACATATAGCATTGAATAATTTGTTCTTTTTAATAAGAAGCTTTATTTACATTTTATAATAGTTTAATATTTATTTATAATTTAATTCTTCTTCTTCATCATCCCTTTTTTCTCAATTCCGTCTATATTTTTACAATACGTAAGTAATGTTAGCATTTTATTATTTTTATTTATCTAAAAATATTTTTCTTGTATTTTTTTCTATTTAAAACTCAATTTATTTCTGAACTACAAAAAATCACAACTGTAACAAAATGCGTATAAAAATATACAATATTTATCATCGCGCATCGGTATGTTTAAAAACATTTGAAAAGCACAGCCAGCGCCATCTGCAGATGCTAAAATGCCGACGTGGTCGGTAAAATCAGAAATAAATTATCGTCTGCTATTCACTCCGCACACGTGACCACCATTGTTTTCGGTGAACAAGCAGTAAATTTCGAGGTTATGTTCATTACGTCGGGCAATATTATGATATATATCCATGACGTATAACTCGCCTAATTAATTATTTATCATCGCAGACGAATCGGACTGTAAAATAGTTCACTTTTATCTTGATTCGGGCGTTGTGAAATTTTTATTGTGGAAACAATATGCAAGGGGATAAAATCGGTGAAAAGAGGCAAGTTTGGACGGATGAAGAGCGTTTGGAGCTTGCCGCGAAATTGGACGCCGAACTGGACGAGTACATAAATAACTTGGAAAAAAAGAGTTATGCTGAAGGATGGCCGGAGGACAGGTGGCAAGAGGAAATGGAGAAGCACCCTTTTTTCATGAAAAAGCCACCGGAACCCGGCGACGAGTTATCTCCTTTGATGGAGGGATTGCAACAACTGAAGTACGGGGAGGATGAGAATACTCCTGAAGGCACGTTTTTCTTCAACACTTGCAGATTATTCGTTATACGTTGTCCTTAAACTTTGTAGCGAATCGTTCACTTGCATTATGTTAGGTCAGTGTTTATTAAAAGCTACTATACATAAAATTACTAAAGTTAAATGTTAAAGCACAATGAATATTTTAAATAATTAAATTTCCAGAAATGACATTGTTACATTATTTAATAGAGTATGTGTTATTTTATTGTTAAAGTTGATTATATTATGCTACTGCGTTTAGATATTTTATATAAAGCAATCTTTAATGTATACTGATCTCCAGTGTAGTACGAGTGATTAAATTCATCATATAAAACAGCCTTTAATATTTATGAATCCAGTGTAGTATGAATAATCGAATTCATCATTAATACACCAAACAACATGCACATCTAGAAGATCTCTTTGTGATGCCTTTTAAAAATCTTTTAGATATATATATTCCAAGAGAGACGTCTTTGGAATATCTTTTGACATCTTTTAGATCTGCATGTTGTCTGATACAATTAATAATTTTTCAATCCTTTATATATACACAATGAGTCATTCGAGTCTCAGATTAATTCAAGGATTAATTTTCATCACTTTTATAAGTATACCAAAATTATTAGGTATGTAGTTCCTACACATACTTTAATACCTTTAGAAAGTATTTGCAAAATAAATGTATTAAAAAGAAGAAAAGAATAGAGACCATTATTTACTTAAGTACTCTTAGTATTTCAAAGAAAAATGTGCAGGACATAAGTGACCCAATCGTATGTACTATTATGGATTAATATTCATTGTTGTTCATACGCAGAGAATATATTGCTTGCTTCCCATGCAGCATATTTATATATATACTTTTAACGTAGAATTGGCGAATAATTACAAGGAGGATGGAAACTTTAATTATAAGTATAAAAAGTATCGTCTTGCTATTCTTAGTTATACAACAGGGATAAAAACCAAATGTAAAGATGACGATTTGATGGCTCAGCTTTACAATAACAGAGCCGCAGCACATTTCATGTTGCAAAATTACAGGTAGGCAAGCCTTCTGATAGGTTGCATTGAATGATTAATACTAATAATAGAGTTTTTAATATAATAAAAATTATAGATCATGTTTGAATGACTGTAAATTGGCCTTAAAGTTTAAGCCACAATATCCAAAGGCTTTGAGTCGAGCTGCCACTTGTAGTTTTCACATTAAAAATTATGACCAATGCATTGATTTATGCGATCAGTTTCTTAATCAAAGTCCAACCGATAAAACAATATTGAAATTAAGATCTGATTCCATAATTGCAAAAGTAAGCTATATTAACAAATATTAATTTAAAAGTTAAATTACATAAACAAGTTTCCATTCTTAATGTTATCTATTACTTTGTTCACAAAGGAGCGTTTACAAAGAGACAAGAGAAAGCAGGAAAGAGAAGAGAAAAAATCAGATAAGGAGGATGAGAAATTGTTAGAAACAATTTCTCGGAAAGGTATTAATTTAGAATTGACGAATGATAAACAAAAGTTAGAATTAAGAGATCTAGAGCCTCAAGTACCGCAAATAGCACAAAGCAGAGTACACTTTGACGAGAAGGACAAGCTTGTGTGGCCAGTAATGATTTTATATCCAGAGACTCAGCAAACTGACTTTATACAAAATTTTCACGAAGATACATTGTATGTCTTTTTATCAAAATATATTATATATTATATACTTATATATCATTAAAATATATTTTTAATTGTTTATAGATTAATTGATCAATTAATCGAACTATTCGAAGAACCCCCTGAGTGGGATGTAAAACATCGTTATACCATAGAAAATATAAATGTATATTTTGAAGGAAAAAACAAATGTTCCATTCATAAAATAGACATCCAGCTCACGTTGGATGAAATATTACGAGACAAACAGTGAGTTTACTAGTAATGTTTTATAAGCAAACCCATAAGCCGAAGTGCTTATTTTTAATGTCAAAATTAATCTTTCAGGTTCATAGTTCGCGGTGGTACACCTGCTTTCTTGATACTTGTAAAATCCAGTGAAGCTGAGAAACATTTCTTAGCAAATTATTAAGTACCTGCATTATATTATACGTATATTGTACGTACTGTATACATTATTAATTGAAAATAAGATTTACATCAATGATGTATACATTTTATATATCTTTGTATAATAAAATTTTTGTAATAAAAAAAGGCATACAGAAATTTCCTCCTATAAACTCGCGTATTTTATATTGTCAAAATTTGAAGCAAACATCAAATAGACCGCATACCTATAGAGTTGCCAAAAAAATTGCAAGTCAAATGAAAAAACTAGTTTCCCTAAAAAGTTTTACCTAACGCGAAGACCTGAAAAGGCTTTCTTCCATGCGAAACGTAACATATGAACGAAAATACGGTTAAAAATTTGTGATCGTTCCTGGGTCGTGTAAAAAAGTAGAAATACCAATGTGCCTTTTAGATCGCTTTGCGATAAAAAAAACCATCTGTCTGGTAAAAGAGTTCCCCTTTGGCTTCGAAACTCCCGCGCGTGTTCGTGTTCGTGTATACACGGTTAAAAATTTGTGGCGGTCGTTCCCTTTTGTACAAAAGAATAGCAGTACCATTGCATTCTCTCCTTGAGACGCTTCACGGGAAGAAAAAGTAGCTTGTTACGGGCCGGGACCCGGAAGAGCACCGTTCAGCTCGGAACACCCCGCGTGTGGGAGCAAAAACGCGGTTAAAAATTCGGTGTGGTTATCTTTGCGGGTTTTTTTTTCTACAAAAAGTACGAAAATAGTTCCCTCCAGGAGTCGGGGACCAGGAAGAGAATGTAGTTTCCTGAATATCATGGACTGACAATGAATAATTTGCTAAAAGTCATGGGATCGCAGGGAAAAAAATGGCTTCCTAAGAAAACCTTCATCGTAGGCTGGTGAAAGACTTTCTATTTCAATATTATGACCATCCCATATCCTTAACCATTTCTTAACTCATATATTACCTAGAACTCGGATCATCGTTTAAAAAAAAAAGGGATTTTGTGTGTTTTCGTCCCTTTTTTTTTTACTATTACTGCAGTCCAAGAGAGTTGTGAATACGAATTTCACAAAAAATCGGCAACTGCAAAGGGAATCGTACATAAATTTGTTATCGAAATTTATCAAGATTTGTTCTTAATAAATTGGTTGCTTTAGTTTAAAACGAGAGAAGGAGCGCGTTTTGTCTTTTTCCTGGAATTTGTTCTCACGTTCTCCGTAGCATGATCGGTAAGCGACAGGGGGTCGTCGATCGGAAGGTGGTGCCACCTGCAGCACCTGTCTACGCCAGGTGAGAATAAAGAGGAGCCGCAGTAGCCTGAAATTCAGTTGAGCCGACGCCGTGGGACACGTGTGTACATTATCTCGAATCCGGTCGCCGCGGAAATTCTATTGAACTCGCGGCCGGTTCGGCGCTGAGACGCTTGCGGTGCGCAAATCGGTGAGGGATCCTGCTAAAAGAGACACGGGGAAGGTCGGCGGTGTCGGCAAAGGCCACCGTTAGTTCAGGACCTTCAAGGTCTACCGTTGGTGGGACGGAGAGAGGAAGAGTGAGACGCGGCAAACGGAGGAACGTGCACGACGGTCGCAGCAGCGGTGCAGCGGAACGGGACGCAAACGATGCCAAAGCGATGCAGGTAAAATTCCTCGCGTTACTCTCTTGCTCCTCGCGGAAATACCCGCGCCTCCCCCGCGCGAATCCCTTTTCGATACGACCGGCTTTGTTTCGTCGGTGCGCGGCGCTCAGCGGCGCTCAGCGGCGCGAGTCCTCCACCTCGTCGGATGTTGGATCAACGACGCTTGTGATGATAAAATAACGCAAGGAAAAAGCTGCTTTGTCTTTTTTTCGGAGGGCCGAAACTAATAACAGTTTGCGTTCCAGCGAAACTTTCAATAAACTTCTCCCAATTTTTTAGCTCATTCACGTTTCAATTGCATTTAGTCGACTATATATTTATATTAATCTTTTTTCATCGTTTGTAACTTTTGATTTATTTTTAAATTATTTTTCTTAAAAAAATATGTTATATAATAAATAGAAGTGATACATTAGGTTATTAAAAGCTTGTTCGTGATTTCTTTCCTTCTGTAATTTAGTATGGAATACAAAAAAATGGATTATTGCATATTTAAATTCACCTTCTACATTTTAGTCACCCAATCCGGAGATATGTTAAAAAGGTGATGCTGGGACGCTTTCAAACTTTCTCAAGCCTTTACGTAGGCATTTTTAGTCAATCAATCATTTGGAAAGTGCATCTTATTTTTGAATATTGGATATAATTTTATTAAGAATTTTAAACGAACTTTTAATAATCGTGATTATACGTACAATTAATGTAACTTTTTGCTCTACATAACAAATTTATTAAAAATTTTTCTTGTTTACAGATAACGAATTTAATTTATAAAAATATTTTATTAATATTGAAATGTATCAAACTTGACATTTTATATATATATATATATATTGATATTAATGCGTGAATTTATTTAGATTATTTTACGTTTAGACAAAAAGTTCCATGTACATTTCAGTCGCTATTTAATCCCTTTAGATTCTGTGTACATTGTAATGTTTATCATTAAATTCGAAAACATTATCCATTGAAATTATTTAGTTCTATCGACATCATCTGAGATTTGATGCACATAATAATGTATATTGGAAAAATAGTCAAAATTTTGAAAAAAATTAATTGTCTAGTATGAATCACTTAAACATTAAAGTGCGCATGAATCAAATTTTGAAGAAATCTTTTTTTAAATATGGTTTCAATAAAAAAATCAGGTCTGGAGGAGTAATCTTTAAATGTATTAGACGCGGTGCATAAATGTCAAACTGATTCACCGTGATTTAAAGAACCGATATCAAATTCTATTTTCACGCGCCGCTCCTGAATTTGCATTGGTGTCGGTGACCGTAGTCTCATCTTTATTTCGAAATAAAGCGAGGAATGCGCAATGATAATGAGCCGATCTGCGCGAGATCGACGTGTCGCGCACAATGCCATTAATACACGACAATGGAACTATGTCGGGCATTAAATTATTCATGGGATAGCTGTTGCATCGCGTCCGCGACGATCGGCGCATCGCGATCCGCGCATTCCGCGCTGCGTGACAAAAGTTTTACATTTGAATGCGATCTGGCGTTACGGTGCGATTTTACAAAAATTGAAAGCCGTCGGTTCCACCCGGTAGAACTTGGATGGATCCGCTTTTTCTGGGTCAAGTCAAAACAGATCGTCAGGGCCGAGTTCGATCTCGTGTGTGTGCTTCTTCGTCGCGTCGCGTCGATCGGGGAGAATCGCGGAGAATCGCATCGCTCGGAATTCGTAGATCTCGAAGGACATTTCGTAGGGAGGAGAGACACCCTGTGGTCGATTGTGTGTCCTAGTTTTGCGCAAGATGCACCGGGCTATGGTGCATCTCTCTGTCTGATATCTCGGGGGCAATATATATATATGTCGACGAAGTTGCGTCACGATGTGCGAGGCACGCACGTCGTACGGCAAGAAAAATGCGCGAGCGGACCGATCACCGAACCGGTTATAACGACGAGTCAACATCCAGCGGATCGCGGACCGAGAGAAAGAAATGATATGGAGAATATCATGTATTCGATCGTATCCTCGGTAGAAAAACGAAGCAAATGTAAAAATAAAACAAATATTTACACGTTAAAATTAAAACTATCTATAGGTTTTAAAACGAAGCGTAAAGATAAAAAAAATATTTATAAAATTATTTACCGGTTTTAAGATGCTATCAGCATTTATTAAGATCTTTCTAAAATATCTATGAGCATCAATATTATTAAATTGCATGTCAATTTAATTTGTGATATTATTGCTCTAATTCTGTTGCGTTTTAAATTAAATTCGACTCGCAGTTTGCAGAAATGGATATGATATAAATTTACACTGAATTATTTAAGCATTAAAGATTTATTATGACCATTTAGAGTCTTTATTTCCTAATTGTTGTGTATTCACATTGTAGTCACAAATACTTGTTTAAAAAAATATTTATTTGACAATTTTATTTATACTCTCGTTTTTAAATAAGTTTAAGACTTTTGTGTTAATGACTTTTCCAATAATTTAGATACTGGGAGAAAAATGTACTAAAAATTTTAATAAATAATTGTTTGAATATTTTTTACTTATTAATATGACATTTATATCTGGTAAATAAATATTTACTAAATAAAAAATAATAATAGTTAAATCAAATTTATGGTTCTTATATATATGGTTATCAAATAAATGTATATTTACATTTAATAAATATTCAACTGGCATTATTGAGAGAGAGAAACAAATATTTATTAAAATTCAGTACATTTTTCTCTCAGTATAGAAAAATAATTGACGTCGTATATTCTTATATCCATTGCTTTATTTAGCGTTTTAAGTTAAATTAATAAATTAATAAATTTTGGCTTATCATTTGTAATCTACTCTATCCCAAATGTTTTAATCTTAATTATAATAGTACGTTAAAATATGCAAATGATAAGGTAGGAAAAGTTACTTTATAAGTTGCTTATAAGTTACTTTTTATTATAGAAATTGACTACGATAAGTAAGTTCGGGTATTTTACTTTTTGTATTATATTTTATCATTTGTTCCAATTTTGTATTACTTTTTATACTCAATTTCTAACACGCACTTATATGTAAAGTAACTTCTCGATCCTGACAAATGAATATAATGAACAATCGTTATATGAATTTGCAGAATCAGATATGTATATAAATTCACACATAAATAAGATCTACTTTGAATGTAGAATTTCTCTTATTCAATTGAATACAATAAATTTAGCAATTGACGAAGAAGGCTAAAACCTAGCATTTGAACACGCACGCGGTAAATGTCAGTTGAGGATACGAAAGATTTGTTCTATTTTCACACAATCGCTTAAATTTGATAGAACGTCTCGGCGTCTCCGGTCGGCGAAACTCACTGGTGACAGGTTTGATTTCGCGTGGAGACAATCGGGATCGTGCAGATTCCGATCCTGGAACTCTCTCTTTGTTTCCGTCTCCCTCCTTCGGTCCGTCCATTTCTACTTCTCCTCCTAGGCGACGATGTTTCACACAACGCGTATGTAGTCGCGACGTGACACGGTCTAACGGCATTCACCCGACCTCGTCAACCCATTCCTCTCGTATATGCATGCATTCCTTCGTCTTCTTCGCTCTTACGTCGTCTCGTGATAACACTTCCGTCACGCGTGTGCGCGCACAATCGTTTGTCATATCGCGCCGGGTCACGCGAATCCGACACGGTGCGGAGCAGTCATGTCAAAACTCATTTTATCTCACGGGCCACACGAGCAATTTCGCACAATTTTATACCGACGCCGACGGTTATGTTCTTTTCGACATTTACCGACGTACTGGCGTCTTGAATCTGGATCCATCTCGGAATTTCTTCCGCGAACGTTCAGAAAACCGGCAGCCCGCGATTACAAAGCGGCTGTCAATTTAAAATCCAATTTGAAAATTTTCTATAATAGTAACGATTCGTCAAAATATTCAATAAATAAAATACTAAGCGTAATAATAAAAGTAACAATGAATACTCTTTTCTTCTTTTTTTTCCCCATATTTTTATCTGTTATATTTTGTTTTTTTATACTTTTTTTTTATATTTTATATTAAATATACGTGTATTATTAAATATACGTGTACATTATATATGAAATCTATTGGAGAGAACGCTTCGTTTTAATATTCTGCAATTACTATATCCTGTAATCTGGTCTGCCTCGCACGTCCTGTACAAATAAAAATCAAAGACCAGAGAGATTAATGAACTTCTTTATCATGTAATTCAATAAATTAACAAAACTATATCTCTATCCCGCAGATACGTCGAGTTTCGCTCATTTGAGAGAATGGAATTTGTTTTACGCTCTGGAATTTCCTTCCCTTCCTTCGATCGAATATTTCCTACGTCACAGCTAACGGAGATAGCTTGGATAGTAATAGGGAAATACTTGGTGTACATTTAAGTCCGCATTTAATAATATGCAACGGCGCGCGTGCAATACGTTACGTCGCGACAATTGCTGCTCCAGTTCTGTCAAGAATGTTGCAGGACAGCATTATGCATGAATCTCTGCTTAAACTCATTTTCCGCAACATCGATAAATAAACTAAAATGATATATAAAAACAAACGTTTGTGCACGATTTCAAGATGAAAATTTCGGGACAATAATTCTCCATATGTTTTTTCCAATCCTCTCTTTCAAGTCTCGTGAATGACAAGGAATGAGAGAGAAATTATTTTGAACAGCTGTTACGTAAAAACTTAAATACAAACAACATTAAATTATATCCCTCTTCGAGTTTAAACCGACCGTTCTGTCTTCTGTGATCTTTTTTTGATAGACCATTTCAACTTTAGTTATAATACATGTAGTTATAATATTTAACCATGAAAAAGATGTAAATGTAAATCTTGACGTACTAACGGCAAATAACAAAGTTTCTTCCACAGCAGTAATGAAGTACACTTGAGAAATGTCAGATAGCAAGAAACGGTTATTACACATCGCGCCTCTTAAATTTTATCGTACCGTTAGCGATTGTCCCGTGGTTGCCTGCTTATTACAGATCATTAGCAATTCGTTTCATTTTATTTTAACGTTGAGACTTTTAGTAGCATCGTAGCTTACAAAGCCCAGTGTGAAACTCGGTTCGAGCTCGGAGAAAATACGAAGCTCTCCGTATCTTCTCCGCTCTTTCCGCATCTCCAATGAAATTTCCTCATTCCATTTCGCGCGATCTTAAACGGAAGGCAACTCGGTAGATTTGTGTATTTTTACTCTAAAAATATACGCCGGCGTTGTCTGACTTTTCAATTCAAATTCAGGTCAATGCGAAATGAAACTCTATTTTCCCAACAGTCTCTCAGCTTCTATTTGTACTGTTTGTCAATTTTGTTCTTGGAATTTTCATACAAAGGCGTTACCTTAGTAATGCTAAAACTTTGTTTCTTCCTGGTTTCATGTAAAACTTTGAAGTTGAAAGAGAGAGAGAGAGAGAGAGATAGAGAGAATTCAAGAAAGAGATTATTTAAATTCTAAATATGCTTATTTAATAATGCTTACCTTTTAAATGCTTTTGTTTTTAAACTTTCTCTATTTTCATAGAGACGTCCAGAAAGACATCCTAAAAGAAAGTACAAAACAGTCCTTGTGTTATTATTAAAATAATGCGATCGTGTAATGCATGTACTTATTCACGACATTGAGAATAAAACGTGATGTCTTAGACTGTCGGTATTTTAAGCCAATTTAAGTTATAAGAAAATAATGTTTAAGGATTAGAAAATAAATGTGTCGCATTACTTTCTAAGAATCCATTGTACTTTGATGTTCGACTAGAATTTCTAACACAAGTATTGTATTTCTTCTTCATATATTTTATTCGTCACTGTTCCATCTTTGTGTTTTCTTATTACGGAAAGAAGAGAACGCTGAAGTCTAAAAATTTAAACAATTACAATTTAAATTTAAAATAAGACTGACTAGATAATAAATCTAATTAAGTCTTATTAGATGCTTATTACCATAAAAAATTATTAAATTGCTTCCATAATTTAATGTGTGATATTTCTATTCTAGTTCTATACATGAATGCAAGTCCAAAAAAAAAAACAATTCGACACGCGGTTTGTGAAATCAAAAATGTATATAGATTCACATTAAGTAATTAAAGTAATTAAGATCCCCGCTTTGATCACAAATAAGAATTCTTTATATTTAATTAGTTCTGAAAGTAATTTTATTTGGCCATCGAAATAACTATGTCAAAAATACAAGTATGATAAGCAATGCTGCAAAAATTTGACATTTTAGCAACCAGCTTGAGAGCACATAATTATTTTAATGATCTAATAAAATTATCTTTAGATCTGTTATCTATAGCTAAATTTTTAGATACTGCAGCAAAATCATTCTTTCCGTGTACAATTAACACAGTTTACACAAGTGAAATTTTGTGTAATTTAATCGCCTAACGTATTGCTTTCTTTTACAGTTGACACACCGTGAGATCTCACGTGGTAAAAAAACACACGTTTCCAAGATACCATTAAGAAGTCCCGGCATCAAACGGTACTCGAGGTGGATTCTGAAGCGCCGACGTTTTAGAATTCCTAGAAATCACGCACAATAGGATTTGATTGGAAACAAAGGAGCAAGAAAATTGTCGCGCCGTAATTTCAGCGACACACGTTGCCTTCGAATTGAGAAAAACTTCTCTGAAGCGACACGAGCTAAAGTGGAGAATTCTCCTTTTCTAACTTCGCGAGTCGGCAGCCGTCGAAATATATGTAATAAAAGATCGTGGAGGTATCCACGACTGAACGGCTTTCCGCAATCCACCACCTGTGGCTTCTGATAACTCCTGTGATAAGGAGAGAAAGAGGAGCACCGCGACACCACCGCGGGGGCTTCGACTTTCAGCTTGAGATTAACGCTAAGCCCTCATTTTTAAAGAACACTCTCTTTCTATTAACTCAGGTAGATGTACTCCGCAAGTCACGGAAGGTATATTTCTACCGTATTTGAGAAACGATCGATTTCGCGAATTGGAGAGAAGAAGAAAATGCCAAATTTCTTCCGCGATTTAAAAACTTTTCGAAACTGACCTGTTGAAAATAATAAAAGTACGAGAGAAGAGTTTCGCTTAATAAATAAGAAAAGAGCGACTCTTTGAGGACGAGATCATTTGTTCTTATTCAAAGATCGGTAAACAATTTGCCAGCGGAGCGGACACTGCCGGAAGTGATCTCGAATAATCCCGTCGTAAAGAGATCGTTGTAGAACGCAGTAGAAAGCGCATCATCGGATCTCTGAGGAAGATTCTAAAAGAGATCCCGAAAAAAAATCGAACGCTATCAGAGGTGGGATTAGCGGTATACCTTTCTTTCTTTTTCATTGAGAACCGTGGAAGGTAATTCACGAAAAACGGCGAACCACTACGGGGTGCATTACGCGAACTCGTACGCGTGCAGCAACGGCGCACCGAGCGTGTACACCAGCACCGGTTGTTGCACAAACATCAACGGTGGCGGCTTCAATGTGCAGCAGCCGCAGCCTCACGAGGATTATCGGCCGATCTACTTTTACGTGGCGCAGCCTTACACGATCCCGTACACCTTCGCCAAGAGACCGAAACCCGCTGCGTCGTCATTGCTAAGGGCGGCGAAGCCGCGCGGCAACAATTGCCGTGTCAAGTTCTCCAAGAAACTTGGGAACGCCGACTTCTCGCAGAAGGTCAAGCAGGGCGAGTTCTCGCGGAGTCTGAACCAGGTGCACTTCGCGGAGAGTCAGGGTCAAGGTAACCACACGTTCTTTCAATTCACAGAAAGTGAAATTCAAGAGCTTACTTTCAAACCGCTTTAAATTTATTTCTTTCTAAAAAATTGTTTATACAATCTTCGGCGTGTAATCCTTATTTTTTTTTAATATCTAAACGATTTGAAGGTAAACTTGTTAGTTAATTATATAATTTGATATTTAGTTGAATTATTGATTTAATTCAATTATATGAAGCATGATTCGTTTGATGAATTAATTTAATAAAATCAATTTTTCTAATCAAATATTTGCAACTATTATGATTTATCGCTTCAGTGACGTTTTTCTCTCAATAGTCTATTATGTTTAACTATTGTTGCATAATTGAATTACATATTCAAGGTATAATAGAATATGCGCATAAATTGGGTTATGTGTAATGTGAGTATAATTATTGTAATTAACAGTCTATCAGAAATGATCTTCTGCAAAATTGACAATTTCTACTAGCATTTCTTTCTTGTTAGCTCTGAAAATTGTTTTATACTTCATTAATTAATTGTATCTCACGTTATGTCCGAAATATTATATTTTCCCGTGGATGCTATTTTTATATGATGACTGTACTAAATGTCGAAGCTTTGAGTGCTTCATTTTCAAGACGCTTTCACACCCGCAGATTCTTCTATCAGACCGGATAATTGTTGCGAAAGCGGCATAGTTTCTGTGTGGCATAATTTAAATAGTGACTGTCGTCAAGTGGATTGCCGATGCCCACGTCTCGTGTGTTCTCTCTCTTTTTGCGTGGAAACATGAACATGTCGCATGCGTCTCCGGTCAGTTAAAACGATGGAGAAAACATTGTTCTAGACTATTCTAGAGAGAAAGAAAATAAGCTCCACCGATGCATAGTGATACGAAAGCTGAAAAAAGTCGCAAAAGCCATTTTATTGTTTTCTGAAAACAATAAAATTGACACTTCTAAATACAGTGCAATTGACATTTAATCTTGACTGATAATTCACCCAATCGTAATAAAATAATTGAGTATTTAAAATATTCATTGAAGAATCTGTAGACTGAATGAACTGTGCGAAATACTTTATGTATAATTAATTCTCTGTTTATACTCGAGTTTGACTGAATAAATCAAAACTTTATAGTGTCAATGAATGTTAACGAATTACGAATGTAAATAAATTTAAAAAATTTATTGTTGTGTTTATTTCAGTATGCGTATTTTCTCGTTATCTTTAAAATTACTATATTTTTACCGATTTTTTCTGGTTCTTTCAAATTATTGCAACACGTATCGCGAAAGAATTTTTCTGAGGCAGAGCAGTAACGCTATTTCATTTCGTTTGAGCGAGAAGGATCGAACTGTTTCCAACGTTAAAAATTTGTACTGTTATTCTGACGGTAGCGGCTTCCATCGGTAAGTTCTCATGTACGCGGTGTAACGCGCGGATGATGTTAATAAGATGCAGCGAGGCGAGACTCTGCTCTATGCAGAGATCGCGAAGACGTTTGCTTTTCGCGCTACATACAAGATAGAGGATGAAAGGTATTTTTACTTTAGCGTGAACGAAGGAAGAAAAGACGTGTATTCGCTCGAATTTTTTCAGACGAATATTTTTATGCGGGTTCTGTTGGCTGGTCATCATTTTGACATGCTTGGCAAAGTGAGAAAATATTCTTAACGTAATCAGAAAAGGAAATGATATAATCGGGAAAGATATAATCAGGAGATCTAAAGAGAATGCGATATGAAGAGAGTTCTTCGCGAAATACATTTAACAGCTTTCAATAGATAAGAAACTTTTACTCTTTATTTCAATTTGATATTAGGAAAGTAACCTTAATCTTTAGTACACTCGATTTTCCAATGCTTTACTGTCTACGATGGATCATTTATGTCACGGATTAATTTTCATCATTTTAACAAATATTCAAAAATTATTATGCACTTTAATATGTTTAAAAAATATTTATAAAATTATGTTTTTAAAATAATTTTATACATAAATGTTATAACTAATTACTCGATGCTTCTAGTTTTTCGAAGAAAAGAAATGTGCTGGACACGAATAACCCAATTGTGTGTTCTAAAATATAAATACTTCAAAATTTTTATAAAGATGATCTATATTTATAATCGTGAAATTATGTATGGAAACTATATATAAATAATATATGTATTATCATTATTAAAAACTTTTGTAGTAGTAATAAGAATATTTCCGTATGGAAAATGTAAAAAATATATATTAAATTTTTTATTTAAAAAGAAGTCTTCTTTTCAAATATGATATATCATATTTTTTATTTAAAAGAAGATTTCTTTTTTAAATATATCTTCATTGTTCTTTTACTTCGCAGTGCTCGCAAATTATCCGAAAGCTGGATCATCTCGCGATCCGAGGATGACGTCGATGTTTCGAAGAGGCACGATCTTCGCGACCTTCTTCCTGTCATTGTTGGGCGGTGGACTTGTCTGCGCCGCCCTTGTGACACAGCATTGGGTCGAGGCACGACCGTGGAGAACGCCAAATCCACAAGAGAGCGCTGGCAGAGTTCATTTCGGTCTATTACAGGGTAAAAAGGAATTAAACGTCGCCTATGGATGGAGGACGTATCATATATCCGGTATGTTAGTCTTTCCGCCTTTCTCTTTGTGTAACATCAATTACGTTTTGCGCGTAATTACTTGATCTTTCTCTTGACAGAATATTGTAACCTTGAACAGTATGCGCTTTGAATATTAATTGCGCGTGTTCTAATCGAAAATTGATTGACTGCAAGATACTATTATCGTTAGCTAAGATTTCAAATTACGTGAAGTTTGATGTAATATGCAGAATATTCCACAATTTGCTGTTTTAAGCGTATATCATATAATTATGCAGCAAATACTGGTTGAAACAAGTCTCTTCTGGGTGAGGATAAATAAACTCGATCTATTAAACTGGGGGAAATCCGTTTTATAAGAAATATTTTAACAAAAATACATGAAATTTAATCTTTATAAGAAGATTAAAAATGTAAAAAAAAATGAATATCGTTAAATTCTATAATATAAAGAAAATTATTTATTTGTCTCACGAGAAACAAGGACAACTAGAAGAGTATATTTAAAATCCTGTTTTTAAAATTCCTTTTTTTGGTTTCTAGAATTACCCAATCTCGTAAAATAAATTCCTACCAATTTTCTTTAATGCTCTTATTTTTCGCCGGAATTACTCCATCGGGGGTGATTATCTTGTGACACCTTCGTAAATCGTAACGAGATCCGAGTATTGTGTGATTGTGTTGGATTCTTTTCAAACTGCGCTATTCGAGTGACTCGCACGACGAATTGTGATCGCACGGAGATATCCGCGAGAGAAAGGCTCGTGGATGATGGAACCTACTGGTATGAGCCAGGACAATAAATCTGCAACTGATAACTGAGTGCATTAGAGTTCTATTCAGCGTTCGATGATGCCCGTAGTTGATCGTACATGCGTGTGCGATAAATCATTGATTTGGTAATCGTCATTAAATTCATTCCATTGATTTCGCGTACCGATCGAAACGGTTGTATCATCGATGGATGCATTGCAACATCCTTTGTAATGGTGCTCGTAATAACTTTCGAAACAAAAGAAATACAAAATTCACGAGCGCACTGATGGAAGATTTTAACGCAAGTCTTAATTATTGCAATTTTTGTTTACGCGTGGAGTTATACGTAGGATAGTAAATTTTATTTTTAATATAGTATAATTAATTACTTTCAATAAAAGTAAAGCGTATTTTATTCAGAATATTATCAAGTTTTTCGATTAATCAATTCTCCCTTTGCAATGAAACTTTTTTTCATCGCTTCTTCTAATTATATTTTTGTTTTAAGTCGTTATTGTTATTGCGAGAAGAAACTGTTATCGTGCTATAACTAATACAATAGCGGTCGAAGCACTCAACCGAAAACATCCGCTCTTCATAGCATCTTAGAATAGTGTCTTTACAGATGGAGTTCATAAAGAGATCTTGCAAATGTATATACAGAGCCTGGTTCTCTTTGTCTTCCTCTTTTTCTTTTTCTCTTTAATTTCAATAGGTACTCTCTAAATCTGAATCAGTGGATAGTCACTAATTACCCAATGACATACTTGGCACTGGGTAATTAGTGGAATTCAACTGAAAAAGGAAGAATGTTTGAGCATTATATAACTAAAATACTGATATTTGGACGTTAATTTCAATCTTCCAATACCATACTCATTGAATTTATGCACTAAAACAAGATTAGTTAGATCACATAATAAAGATTAGCTAAGTTAAGAATCTCACATTTCATTCACTGATTACCGGTGGCATACTTGGCACTGATATCAGTGATTATCCACTGATTCAGATTTAGGAAGTATATATATATATATATATATATATATATATATAAAATGATTTATCAATTAGATTTTCACTCAAATTTCGGGATTATTTTCGGAACTTGCATATCACTAAATTTTTATGTCTCAATGTTAAGAAATCTGATCCGTTACTAAGTATTGCCACATCCGCCAGGTGCACTTTTGCGAATTAAGGGTGCATTATGTCACGCGCGAAAAAGATAAATTTCTTATGCACAATGCATAATAATCACCCCGATGAGCAAGCGACTTTTACGTAGCTATTATGCCGTACTTCCGGAGAAGAACAACAGAATCACTGGCACGCGCTGTGAGAAACATTTCTCTTTCATTCAGGCGGGTAATGGGTCCGAAGGGATACCTACGTAAACATGCATTCTACGATTACGTATTCCACCAGGCATTCTTTTAATCGCAGCGTTTTGGCCAATTTGAAAAGAATTTTTCCTCGACGAAAATATCAAAAGAAGTCATTATTTTATATCTTTTTAATTATTACTCTCTCTCTCTCTCTCTCTCTCTCTCTCTCTCTCTACTTTTTAAATTTCAAATTAAAATCCTATTTAGATAACTTCAATATCTTGATCTCTTTATTCAAAAAATCCGATTGAAATGAATAAAATAATTATAATGAAACCGTTTCAGGATTTTATTAATTTTGTTAAGGAGCGAGACAGAGGCGGTATTTTAGAGAGAAATTCGAGCCTGTAATTTGCGTATAATTCGAGCGTATATAGCATATCTCTGGGAGCGAGTATATATACGCACATGTTTGAATTTCTCTCACAGTATAAAACCGCAGGCATGTGCATGCTTGCATGTTATCATATACTCGTATATAACAAAAAAATCACCAAGTTACGAGACGTATGCGGGTAACAATAGACACGGAAACTAGTTTTAGCGTACAAAAATCAAGGAGCAAACCTCATAGTCTACTTTCACGTGCCTGCGCGTTACTCGTATCATCGCGCGTTACTGATGCTGACCGCGGTAAGAGTATCGGATTCTAGTACGCGATCAATTTTATGAGGGCCAGAGAAGAGAGATAGAGAGATAGGAAAAAGGAGCGGCCGATATATAATTCCACCTGATCGCGGTGTTCACAGCTTACGTTATGTCTCAACGTTTACGAAGCGCATTTCCTAGAAGTATTTTCAGTATGTAATGCATTACGACATCATCAATCATCATGTAAACAAAAATTAGATTATTCGTACATTTATGAAAGAGCTACTCTGATTTTAAATCTGATAATAAATTCGATAAGAATAACGGAATTTTAGAAATTGAAATTGATGAACTCTAATGTTGGCTTATATCGTGCAGCTTTAATTTTGGTCAGAGAAATGACGTTGGGACATATAGAAATGAGAAATGCTGCACCATTTGAATTGAAACGATAGGAATAACGCGACTACCGGTAGATAAGTTTTTGAGTATCTGAGTACATTAGTAGTAGGTACATTTTCGAGTCGGCGCTACTCGTGGAACTTGGCTGCCGCCTTCAACGAAAGCAATGATCCGTTATTCACGCTGTCGTAAGTTGAAATGTCTCACGGAAACTTCGTCGTATCCTGGAAGCGTAATGCGCGAAATATTCCTACTTATATTCCTTCTTTCACTCTCGAGCGTACATCACGAATATAAAATACGATAGCAGCGGCTTTTAGTTTCCACGGCGTGCAATACATCCGCATCAACGAAAGACGTCAGAAGTAGCGAAGCATTGTGGATATTTTCAAGTATGACGTTACTGAAGATATATATTTTCATATGTAAAGTTAATCGCTCGAGAGCTGGCTCCGTTTCAATTTTCGGACATTACGCAACGTTTGCATAATCGAAGTCCTCGTTTCTGCTGTTACATTTGCAGTAGCAATTTAAATTTACTTCAATGGTGCAGATTATCGATGGCACATAATATAAACATTGTAGAAATGCTATAAAATAATATTAAAATACACATATATATATATATAATTATAATTATTAGATATATAATTATCACAAAAAGTGTTTAATTGTAGCTCAAAAATTTTAAAATAATACTATAAATTTAGTTTATCACAGCATTAAAAAAATAATTAGTTATTTATATATATAGTTATAGTACATTTAGCAGCTTATTATATATATAATACATCTTATAGATTAGTTTAAGATCTGTTTTTTATTCCTGTAATAAACTGGACTAGAACTCTCTTTCTTGCTTTCGCCAAATATCGAACATATCTATACCATTTTCACTTTAAGTTTCAAAAATGTATACTAGTTCAGCCATAGAAAACAGACCTTTAGTTATGATTGGAATTGCATTTCATTTGTTTCGAGTAAAATTATTAAACAATAAAAATCTTAATAATGTTTCAGTTCCTCAAATGATCCGACAAGATTCAACGGTGATGTCTTGGGCTCTTTGGATCGCTACTTTAACAACAACTTCGGCTGCTTTGGTAGCGGCTGCGCTTGCTGCACTTTTGGCAGTTTTAAATACAGCTACTTCCCCAAGATCGAAGATTCTATCCATTCCTGGTGTATACTTTATAAATATGTTAATGCGTAAGTATTTTAACACTATTTTATTAAATTATAAAAAATGTTTTCTAAAAAAAATTATCGGAACAGAGCTGTTATTTTTTCAATATATTTTACAGATTAATATCTTACCACATCTGTTTATATTAAATAATTTTTTAAATTTATAACGCTGATTTTAATAAAGTTCTAAAAATAGGGAATCACAAAGCTCGTATAAAAAATGCGAAAAATTAAATAGTTCTAAAAAATATATAGAACTTATAAATAATTACTGCATATCATATGCAACATGGACTCTTATTCGTGATTTATTTTTAGTGTTAATGTGCTTAGCAAGCACTTGTACTTGGTTAGCGCAATACTATACGAGACTATACGTTAATGTGCTTCCGAAGGAGGACATCGATAATATGTGGACCAGCGAAGGTTCCGCTGAGCTCGGTTATTCATTTTGGTAAGAGAGAGATATATAATCTTTACTTTTATACGATAAAATTGCTACTCTTTAAATTAAACGTCTATTGAGAATCAGAATTTTTTTCTATGTTCTTATTTTTCCTATTGAGATGAATTAATATGATTTAAATATTTTTATTATATTTTTTCCGACTTCAGTTACAAGTATTTAATTAATATTGTAATGATCACAAGAAAGAGTTAAATTTCTTAGACTGCTAATTATTTTAATATTAAAGAAAAACAACTTATACTGATAAGTAAATGTACTATTCAAATTAGTTAACTGATTGAATCTTTTATTATACAATTGTCGTAAATATTAGAATTTTTTGGAATTAAAAACAAATTTCTTTTCTAACTTAAAGTTCACCTTTCGTATGTGACAACTCAGTATTTCCCATTTGCATTATTTTTTACTTACAATTAGTTACTAAATTAAATTCAATAGTTTGAAATTTGAAATAATTAGCTTATTCATATTCTTTAAATATTTTTCCATTTAGGCTCGTAGTTAGCGCTGGTGTTGTACATCTCATTAGTATAGCATTAGTCGGCTGGGGCTCAGGTAGAGAAAAGGATGATCGTCTGGAACCAATCCCTGCACTTGAAGAGAAAACTGCCGCAGCGATTATGTTATATTAAATGTTATAATAGTTTAAAAATTGTAAGACTATGATTGAATTACGCTACTATGTGTAATATCCAATTGATAGTATCTATATCGAGATTGAACGAAAAGTAGCTGAGATTAAGCAATAGAATTTTCGTTCATAGATTTGTGCCTCGCACAGTTCCTAGTTACTTGCTAGGCGTTTGTAATCATTTTCCTAGATACAATTCAGTTTTGCAACAGATATTGTGCAGTTCTATATCAAAACGTAAATATAAACACAGCAAGTACGTTTGAAGCGCGAGATGCGCTAATAAAGTACTTGCCGTATATGTCGAAAGAAGAGTTGGAATGTGACGATATCACCTACGTGTGGTATATAATGTATACATTTCGACATATTTTATGCATTGATATTATGCCAGTTCGTAATACTCGTGATTTCAAAGTGACGATAATCATAAAACGAGCATTTTATGACTAACAACGATCGATTACGATTGAAAGCTACGCGCTATTCGCTTTATATGGCATAAAAAGACGAGATTGAGCATGGAAAAACGCTTTATTATAGCTTAATCTATACATTAGTTGTTTATCAATAAGGCCGCAATCTAGACAATTATCGTTTCGGATTTCGGTTTGTAAAGGTTCTATTATTGGTAGTATAAACATTCGTATATAGATGTGTATGTAAATTATGCGATACGAATTCAGATGATATACAGTTATATCATTTTTATTATCGAGTTATCTTCCGATATATTTTGTAAGTTAAATTCTTTTCTTATATTCTTATTTAGCACTATGTTTTTCTCTTTTTTTTTACAAAGGCGATTGTTTTGACTAGACTGGGCTCTCGAGAACGATAATATATATTTTTTATGTATTATATATATATATATATATATATATATATATATATATACACATACACTACTATCTATAATTTAGTTAAAGAGGATATTTTATAAGTTAAGCGTGGCGTGCCTCTTCTTCGAGACATTTAATATTTTTAACAGTTATTTCTCGAGATTGTTACTTCTATATAAAATGTACGATTTTATCAATTTCGTTGCCGTGGTAAATCGTACGTGGAACGTATCATGAAATGTAAATACAATAAAAAGTTTGCACCTCGGGAGTATATTTATTACAATGATGTTGCGACGTAATATAATAATAAAACAGTAAACAGGTTATAGAATATTGTACAACCGTCGTACGTACTTTAGTTCTTCTATTAGTTCGAGATCCTCGTTCTTATAATCTATTTCACGTAAATGGCTTCATATATATTATATACAAGGATAATCGCTCGCCGTAGGTGCGACGGGAAGAAAATGTACATTAGGAGTCGTACATTTTCCTCTTAAGGAAAGATGTGTGATAAGACGCGGGATAATGTAAAAAAATCTAATGAATGGATAGGATAGAAGAGAATTTTATTGATATTTCTATATTTTCTCTAATTTTTTGAAACAAGATATTTTGATTATGATAACAGAATGACCATCAACTATACAAAATAAAAAAAGTAGCGAATCTGTGTAAATTTGAAATATCTAAACGACTTAAATAATTTGAATCTAGATTAGATCAGATATTTCTGTTTTGCACAGTAATAAACAATATAGTCTATTACATCTAACCAAAATATCTTGTCTCTAAAATTTTCGCTATACATCTACCACTAAAGTTATTTCCCTCCCACTTTCTTGTCTGGAAGAATAAAGCCACACACTAAATAATAAAAATGGACAGACTTCCGTATTAGATAAAAAGTCTATTCATGTATATATCTTTAGAGAATAATAAACTTATATAAAGCTACATGTGTGTGTGTATGTGTGTGTACATGTGATTAACTGAGGCTTTGATGTCAGCGCCGACTAACTTTCGACCAACCATCATCTTCTAATGGTCGCCTTCTCTCGTCAGATCTAGGCGGAAGTCTGTCATCTTTACGATCCTCTCGTCTGAAATGCACAATGAAATTGAAATTTAAATTAAAATTTAATTGAGTTTAATTACTGTTTAAAACTCTTAATGAATGTTTATGAAATTCGCTCAAAATTTGTATAACATTTGTACGATTGTTATGCTTTATTAAATTGTTATTATTAAATGGTTATTACTAAATTTTCTTTATATATACTAACTCGCGCTTGGGTGGGTCTCTTGGGGAATCTTGAGGCGGGTCGCGTTTCCGCCAGTCCTGGTTAGTATTTGGCCGTGGTGCTGGTTCATCACGGCGATCGCGGTAACCACCACGGCGATCGGAAATTCTACCACGATCACGATCTCGATCTCTATCTCGATCATCGCGTATCGTGTCACGTGGAATCTCGCGTATCTGCAATCGTAATTAAATAGAAATATTATTAAAAAATACACGTATCCAAAGAATAAGAGTAAATATATAAATATAATTTATATAATTAATAAATAAAATATAAGTGAATGAAAAGAGCAATAAGCAAAGAAAAGAAATTCTACATGTAGACAATATTTTACAGTATATGTAACATGTTGTATTAGATTAAGATGCAGAACGTATACTTACTCCACGTCCATCTATTCCACGGTCACGGTCACGATCACGATCACGGTCGCGATCATCTCTCTTGTCGAAACCACGGTTGTCTAACCTATCTCGATCTCTTAAATCTTCTCTATCGTAGTTATTATCATCTTTCCTCCATTTATCCACAGTATCCTTCTTCCATCGGTCCGAGTCATCGTTTCTTCTCCATTTGTCTATATCGCGACGTGGTTCCCTTTCTGGTTCCCTTCTCTTCCACGAAGAATCCTCAATCTTGTCATCGCGTTTCCTCCAGCGATCTGTGTCGTTTTTGAGTCCATCAGATTCTTTGTCAGGATTACGTCGCCATGACTCCAACGCTAGTAATGATACAACAAAATAATACAAATTAAATTTCATCGATATTTGTATATACGAAAATATCTAGTGAGAAAACATGAAAATGTATTATACTCACAAGGTTTCGGACCTTCGCGATCGCGTTCGCGATCACGATCACGGTCACGGTCACGATCGCGATCACGGTCACGTTCACGATCGCGATCACGATCACGATCACGATCGCGATCACGATCATTATCCATACCACGCCGCCATGTTGAAGCCAGTTCTTTATCTCTCAATCGTTCTTCCTCCAATTTACGTTCAATTTCAGCTTCCTTAGCTCTAATAATCTCAGCTTGTTTCTTAAGCTTAGCCATACGTTCGGCTTCTCTGGCTTCCTCTTCGGCCCGTCTGATTCTCTCCTCTTCCTCTCTCTTAGCTCTTTCCTCTTCAAGACGTTTCTTTTCCTCCTCTTGTTTGATACGCAATTCTTCCAATTGTCTTCGTTCTGCAGCTTCCGCGCGTTCCTTCTCCCATTTTGCTTTACGCTCGGCTTTACGCTCCATTTTGCGCTTCAATAATCGCTTAACACGCTCCTCATTCAACAATTTCTCAAATTCCTTCAATTTTTCTGTGTATATGTTTCTACGCTCAGCTAAGATCTTAGCTAAGAAAATGCCGTGATCTTCTTTCATACGCGCTAAGCGCTCTTGAGTCGCGACAGCCTCCTGTCTCTCTTCGATAGCTGCGGCAATTCGCTCATCCTCCTGCTGCCGCCAGAGTTGTTTCGCCTGTTGCATCCTGTCCTGTACGGCCTTCTCCAGCAGTGGAATCTCCTCGAGTCGTTTAGCACGCTCCAGATAATCGACTTTCTTCTCCTGGGACTTGAGCTTCTGTTGCATCTCTCTGCGCTCTTTCTGTAGCTCTTCAGCTTCCCGCGCCGCAATTTGTTCCGCGTCCAGTTTTTTAATTTCATCTTCATCTAGTTTCTTCAGCACCTTTTGCCCGTGACTTGTCTGTGAAATCTGCTGCATCTTTTCTTTGAGATGGCGATCCTTGATCTGCTGAATCTCACTCTGCTGACGCTTTCGTTCGCGTTCCTCCCGTTCCTGTTCCAGTCGCTTCTGCTCAGCCAACATCTGTTGCCGCTGAAGTTCCTCTTGTCGGCGCATTTCCTCCTCTTCGCGGACTGTATTGATGTGCTCGATGTATTCCTTCCGCTCCTCGATAATTTTGTGCCTGCCTAATATTTTCTGATGATCCTTGATCTTAGTTTCATGATAGTGAGCAACCAACACATTGCGTACTTTCTCGCGCTCGAATTTCTTTTTGTTAGGATTTATTACATTAATGGAACGGTGCAACACGGTCGCCATGTTTACCAGTTGGCAGCGTATTTGTTCGGAGGGCATTGCTTGCAATACCGGTCCGTCCGGATGATCTTCTCGTTGCGCCTCCGAGAGATCCACTCCGAAGTGAACACATGACTTGCCGTGATCTATTCTGATCTGCATGTCATTATAGCGCACGCAGTCTACCAAAAGACGTTCAAGGTGAAAATCGATTGTGAATTTGGCAAGTTCCAGGAGTCTGGAAAATTGTATAGTTTGATAAACTTGAGAGATCTGATGAACAAGACGCACAAGTGTAACATCTTGCAAGGCTGGGATATATTGGATTAACGGACTGTTTTCGTCTGCCTGTAACGTTTGAATGACGGAATCGACTCTGCTACAGAGTTCTAACGGATGAAATTCCACTTCTAACCACGAATATAATTCTTGCAACTGTGGTGACGCGAGAACGACAACATTCAAACGAACAATGTCCTTCAACAGAGAGACGCGTGTTGGTGGTTGCGAGAGACCTAAAAGAGTCGCGAGCTTTTGAGCTTTTTCTAGCGGGCTCTTGTCAGTCTCTATGAAACGATCAAATTCAGGATGCGCGGATGGCAACGGTATCGACAATGTTGCCAATAATACTCGATTGGCCATTCGCTGCTGTTCCTCTGAGGACATATTCTTTTTCATTTCCCGAGAGAGCTGTAAAAGTTTGAACAGCGCAGCTGCGTGAAACAAATAATTGCCAGCCTTCCAGAAAACCATAGCCAATTTCTGATAGTAATTGGCCATTGTTTTTGGTACAGGGAGTTTCTTCGATAAATTCATCATACCGTGAACATCCTCCGAAGATTTAAAGGCTTCCTGCCACAATTCCATTTGTATCGCAGAATCTAATTGATTTAATCTAGTTTCTAGATTTAACTGTTGCGTTTCCGCCTTATTCATAGAAACATTCGACACGAGTGGAGGTAGTTTACATATCTCTTCAAGATGCTTCCGCAATTTCTCGCATAACTTACGAAATTCAGTCTTACGATTATACTCGAGGCAAAACTGGAAGGCCATACGTGCGATATCATGGTAAAGAGTTTCCACATGCGCATTAGTTCTCAGCAATTCCAAGCATTGGCAGTACGATTCCCACAAGAATTTTACCCAGGGTGTTAAAATAGTACGATCGCTCCTGTCTTGAGCGTCTTCACCGCTTACGGCTGACAGTAAGATGCTCTCAGGTGTGGCAAGATTATCGAGATCGTCAATGTCAATTACTGCTTGTTGACTCTGTTTGCGTGCTGCGTTAGTCTTCTCTTCAGCCATTTTCAAATAACCACGTATAACATTCTCCAAACTCCCAACATTGACAGATTGAAACATATTTCTGTATTGAAACAAACCCTCTTTCGCTATGTGTGACTTCTTTAGTTCCACACAGAGGTCCAGATACTTGAACATTATAGGTTCCAAGACGGACTCTGACCAGTTGTACGTCCATTTTTTATTACGGAAGACTTCTTGTAATGTATCTAATGCTCGAGCTGGTTTACCCACTTCTATGAACTCTGTTTAAAAAAAGAAGAGAACTATCAGAAATTAAACTATTCAGAAATTAATTTAGAAAAACTAAATAAATTTTTTAAATAATATATATATATAGATTTTTA